TTAAAAGTAAAACTCCTGTCAAATAATCACAAGACATGATTATGACAAACATTTTTATATTGTAACCTGCTCATAACAATTATTTGTCAACAGACCACTCAGGCTTATCAGGACAAATATATATACTGTATATACTGTATATATTTATATTAAATATATTAATATAAACAATAACAAAATAGACAATTCAAAAAATAAAATTGTGGGCATAAATAAATAAATTAAAAATGTTTAATGTAACTTTTTCAAAATTAAAAAAACTAAAAAATAAATTTGAGAAAGTACAAATGAAAATATAGCATTTTTAAACTTTTGAAACTAGAAGCTGCTCTTCATATTAATGACAAAAAATAACAGTAACAACAGCTTTTGACAAGTTTAAAATTTCTTTAAAATACATTCAAAATGTTTAAAAATAAACTACAAAAATTAATTTAAGGTGCAAATTAAAATATAGTTGTATGTGCAACTGTATTTGATAATGTTTTGAAATTTTAAAATACTGATGATAGAACCAAGCTGTTCTTCATATTAGTGACAAACTTTGTTGTTTTTTGATGAGTTACTTTCATTTTTGCTTCTACTTTTCATTAAAAATAAGTTTCCATTCTCGGCAGGTTTCTAAGGTTCTTCTTCTACATATAAAAAAATTGTTAAACAACTGAGTGGCGCACTACTGCAACTAGTGGTGAGAAAGTGTATTGCACCTTTTTCAAAATCAATGCGATTCCACGGCCCTCTGCGGTCCAGAGTTAAAAACTGTTGTTCTTTTGAGGCCCTCAAGGTGGCGCTCACCTAGTTAAGAATCTCTGCTGTACAGTTTCAGTTTGTGAACTTTCGCAGATTTTTTTTAATATAACATAATTACTAGTACTTTGCGGGAATTTCTGTTATATTGCAGTAAMCAAAAATACAGTAACGTAAGGAACATCCTTTTTTTTTTATCTCTCGAGCTTTTAAATGAGTTTTTGAGCTAAATTATTAAATATAATTTGTGTCCGTTACTTATAAAATTGTATTGGCCAAAATTGGAATTGGCAGGTCAGACCTTTTAAAGATCGGTGATTGACGATCGGTCAGAAAACTGCAATCGGTGCACTGTGACGCGTGACAGGTACCACGCTTCACCCAGAGTGCAGCATTTCCACTTTCCAACAGTTCGTTGCACCGTACCATGTGTAGCAGCTAATGGCTTAGCTCTCATTTGTTTTTGTTTGCTTCTTACTGCATTAGGATACCACCCCAGACTCACTGCAAGCATTGCCTGGACCACATCCAATATTCACATTATTGGCTGATAGCTACTCTAAGAACGTTACCCCCACAAAAATCAGAGCTTCACTATAACTGTAAAGAAATGTGTCACTGGTGGGAAAAATAAATCATTCATAGGTCTTCAAGATCAACATATCACTGCAGAGACATTGTCATGTTTGTCGAGCTCAGGTCACGTTGAACAATACTAAGCTCTCCTTTACACTTAATGATTACTTTGATACAATGTAAAATGAGTGTGGGTAGTGTCTGCAAGGTCTTGGCAAAGTCTTCAGGAGTGAATAAAACATGCAATGGGCATAAAAGTGTATGATAGGTCCACAACCAAGAAATATCCACTTTGTAAATGTTATTTGYGTGTGATTGGTGCAAATGCAGCAGGACAAGTTTATTTAGCAAAATTTCTACATCAGTGTAAAACAGGCACTTGTACATTTCAAAAGAAAGCAGTATTAGTATTAGACTTATATATAAAATATTAGTTCTTGTGCATTTTTTTCACAAAGCTTAACCCTGAGGAAAAAGCCACATTTCAAGTTTTCATCTTCACTCCAATGATTTATGATCAATAAGGACAAAATAGGCTTGCCTGAGTTTTATTTATGTACAATATAATAAAACACCCAGTCCTATTTTATCCTTGTGCAAGTGACATGTATTAAACTTTTTTATTGTTTTCATTGAATTATAGCCCACATGGCGCATCCTTCTTCCCTTTCTAACAGGGCAGCATCATCCCTGCCTCATAACTTACAAGAGAAACGATGCATCACGTCCACACAGCTTCTTCCTGTCCCCACCAAGAGCACTGTGATGGATAGACGGACAGAGTTTTAGCTGCCCTCGGCTGTCGAGCAAACAAACGGCTTTGTTGGTCACAGTGGTCAAGGTCAAATTGGCAGTAAAGTTGTGTGCTGATTTTCATTTTAAAAAAGAGATAAAATTTATTCTAAGAGAAAAAAATCGTATGTATTCGGATTCATTGGTCTAATTTGAGTACATTTGTCTCTACTTCTGGTTTGACATTTAGAGTTTCCTCAGCGCTTGGAGACATTTACCAAAGTAAAGAATTAAGGCCATAAATATGAAAACCCAAAGAATGGATCAGGAAGTGCCGAGGGAAGGATTGGTAAAGGTTAGAGGAAGACGAGCAGGGTGTGGAGGAGAGAGACGGGGAGGGTGGATATCAGAGGACAGACAGGACAAGGGAACTGCTGATTGCAGCTTTGTGCTTTAGAAAACATATGTGAGTGTGCACCTGACTATGACTCAGAGGGAGATAGTACATGGACAGACAGAGCACCGCAATGTCCAGGTTTTCACAGAAACACCCACAGCTCTCTGGCTTATTTATAGCCCCAGTGCTCCTAGGTGTCGCGTGTTTAAAACGCCACTCCTCACACAGAGCAAATACTCATGCATGATATGAGAAATGTCACAAAAGAACCATGGTTCCGTCGAGTTCTTGCCTACAGAGTGAAGCTAGGCTGGTTCCAGCTTGCAGGAACTCCAGTATTTGGCCACTATTGAGGGCGAAACCTTAAGAGCTCTGTGCTCCATATTGGTCCTCAGTGATGGTACAAAGTGAAATACAAAGTAGGACAAAATGTAATTTATGTAGAGCAATTTAATTAAGTTCAGTGCATGTATATAGCACCAAGTCACAACAAACGTCATCGAAGGGCACTGTACACTAAAAACAATAAATCTAAATAAGTCAGCAGATTGTATAGAGCAGCACATGCAATCATGTTAAAGTGACAATGAGAGATCAGATGCAGAACCAGGTCTGGTAATAAACCCATTCAGTTAATAACAACACAGTAAACAGTTACGAGAGCCAAAACTAAAGGCATTATTTAACAAAACGACTGGGGAATGTGTAAACAAATGTAGAAATAAAGGTTTATTGCCTTATACTGTATAATTTACATGAGTTCTGCCATTATGACTCTTGTAAGTCATTTTATTATACTGTAAAATGGAAAGGGTAATCTGCTCACGCATTGGCAGGAGCAAGTCTTGATGTTGGTGAAACACGTCCAACTGCAGTCCACCTCCTAAACAGCAGGTGTCACTACAGTGAAAATAATACCAAAACATTGCAGAAAAAAGGACTTCAATTTTTCCAAATTTTAGACTGAATATTTATCCTCAGCATAGTTTTTGAGACCTGAGCTTTCAGGGCTGTAGCCTCGAATTTTTCCTCTTATAAGAGAGCTTCTACGCAGGTGTCAAAATTAAGGCTAGGCGATACATATACATTTTTATATCAGTCGATATTGATAATTATTGATTAATTTTTTTGTTTTACTTACTTGAAACAAGGACTAGGATAAAAAAGGCTGATTAATATTGCCAAACTGGTGACATGACACTTCAGCTCTAGGGCTCTTTAATTTATGAAAACTAAACTGTATGACACAGATACAACAGCTTTGATTATTTTTGAGAGAAAAAAAACATTAAGACTTGAAGCAATAATATTGTGAACCTTTGAGACTCATGCCAGGAAATTGAAAAACCTCCTTTTAAGATCCTCTGGAGACTTCTTTTTTAATCCTGCTAGCAGCCCAGTAATATCTAGGGGTGTAAGAAAATATCAATACACTGAAATATTGCGATATTTCATTTCCCAATACTGTATCGATATTCTAAAGCCCTGTATCGATTTTTTATTAAGGTTTAAAATGTCAACTTTCCTGCCAGCCGTTCATTTTTATGTTGTAGTTCAGCCTCTGACCACTAGTTGGCAGCAGTGAGCCAGCCATTTGGCTCCTCTACCTCTTGAGGTAGAGGCTATTGTTAAGTGTTGGGTGACCATATTGTAAATTAATATTAAAAACTAAAAGCTGCAAAAAATATATTTTCAAACTATTTATTGGCAAATTTAGTCTAATAATTGAAAACATGGATGAAATAAGAAATATGAAACAAATAAAATAAAATACATACAAAGCAGAACACAGCTAAATGTATCAAAAGCATGTCTATGTGATAKTAGAATTTTCTGAGACAATGAATTTTGTTTTTTCATTTTTTTCCCCCAGTAAGAGGTTTTTATTTAATAGAATTTTTGGACAAAAGAAAGGGGTCACGATACGAAATATTGCGATACTGTAAGCAAGGCGATAGCCTTGCTTACAGTATCGCAATATATCGTATCGTGACCCCTCTGTCATGATATGTATCGTATCGCCAAATTCTTGCCAATACACAGCCCTAGTAATATCCGGGCTTTATTACTTGCACTATGTATTGCGTTATGACGATCAAGTATGCTAATTTACCAGCTTTTTTCTTTACTGGTTGGACTTCGCGGGTGTCTATTTTCAGCAGTCGCTGTAGGGGAGGCAGGGGACACCCTGGACAGGTTGCAAGTCCATCACAGGGGACACATACGGACAAACGAGGGAAACAAACATTCACACTCTCTCACCTAGGGACAAATTTTACAAGTCTGTGCAAGAAATAAAAAAAAGAATATTCTGAACCCAAATCGAGGGAGTTAGATTGATTTTTGAGTACAGCCCGGTGACAAATATTTTGCTAATTCATTCCAAAGTTAAATCAGTGAACGTTTATGAAAGCCATCCACCTACCTGCTTCTTGCTTGTGTTTGTTCTCTGTTTGTTTTTAGCCTTATTGTTGTATATTAATGTACGTGCAGTAAGTTTTGGCGTGACATTGAAGTCTTGTTTCTCTTTGTGCCCACGTGGATCCAGCAGTGCAACCCAGGTGACCTCCGCGCCCTGAGGAAGGGAATGACTCTGTACCACTCAGAGTCCCAGCTGTCCTCGCTGCCCCAGCGCCAGGAAGCCATGCACATGGTGAGCGCGCACACACACACAAACACACGCACACACACACACAAAAACACACACAAACCTCTCCCAAACACTGTGACACGTAGATAAAGGGCAAACCCTAATCACACTCAGGTTGTCTCCATCCTTAACAGATGTGGTTAAGTGTTGGGGGCGTGTCGAGCTTTAATTTCATACACATCTAATTGTAGGGAGGACTGTACTGGTGCCTTCGTGGCCAAATCAAGCCAGCGTTAGCTTTAATTCACGGCTCTTCAGACTCTTCAATTACACCTCTGCAAGCAGCCTTGCTGTCGTGACAGCCCCTACGTGACAGGAAGGAAACACAATCGCTCAGGAGGGAGGAAAAGGAAGAAATTCAATTCAAAAAAATTAGAATTCAATTCAAAAAATGTATTAATTTCTTTAAAAAAATAACAATATACAATAAAAAAACTAAGAAAATACACAAATCAAAAATCAATATAAAATGAAAGGTAGCAGAAGAAGAATAAATGTTATGTCTGTCCCTTTTATCCCCAGAATATATTCGAACAAAACATAATTTACAAAACAATACAAACAAAAATAAAAATATCAACTCAAACAACAATTCATATAGCTTCTCATTTTACTTTTCCATATACCTTCAACAAACTAGCTTTTATCTGTCTCATAAATATATACATTGATCTACCATTCCACAATCCTATACCCTGGATTAAACTATACCCTGGATTAAACTATACCCTGAATTAAACTATACCCTGGATTAAAGTACATCTTCCTCTCAAGCAAGTATGAAAATATGGCTTCACAAATATTTCCATCCCCTTTAGATAATAACAACTGTCTCTCTTAACAAAATTTGCCTGAATGTTGGAAGGGAAGGTAATAAGTTTGTGTGAGCCTTGTACATAAACAGTATAATATTATAGTAGGGGTGTAACGATTCGTTTTAAAAACGATTCGATTCGTATCACAATTCACAACTGCAGATATGATTCAAGGACAATCTTGGTTCATTTAAAACGATCCGATCTGAAACGATTCAGTGACTTAAAATCGATTCAGTAACTTTTTAGCTAAAAATTCAACCAGTGTGACTGTGAAATAAATGCCTTGATACTGGACAATGCAAATAAAGTTTCACAGATTCCTGTTGTTTCTTGTAAGGGAATCAAGCATAAATTGATGATAATAGATAGAGAAAAATAATCAAACAACAATTAATGGCAAAAGTATTCACATTTTGTATGCATAAATCGCAACCCAAAATAAATTGCCCGAGCTGAATTTTGGCCYAGTCTCTGACTAAACATGCTGACAATGCCTGAAGCTTCTGCAGAGCTCAGGCTGACGTTACCTTGCGTTGCTGCTGCGGTGGGGACACCGAAAGAAGTGCCTGGACGGTCGGCGTTGTGTGAAATCCCATGGCGCCTTAGGTGGTTGTAGAGATTTGTAGTGTTGCCATAATATTTTACTTGACCTTTGCATAAACTACAAACYGCGAGCGACTTATTAAGAATGTCTCCTTTTTTTTGCAAAAGCCAAAGTGTTTCCACACACTGGACCGCAACGGTGGCTTGATAATTTCTCTCGTCGAACGCTTCTTCTCTGCTGTCCTCCATGTTTTTTTGTCTGCTCGCGCGAGTTGATGACGTCACGGACAAGCAAAGTGAATCCAGTAAAATTTAACCTGACGATCATTAAAAGTACATAAAAAACGAACCCATATAAGGTGCTGTGCTTAAATCTGATAAGTTATTCCACAGTATCGACATAATCGATTATTTACATTTTAAAACGATTTTAGATCGATAAATGTCGTCCGGAAGGCCAACTTGCCGAGCACAGACCAACGTAGTTGGATTGTAGGAAAAAAAAATCAATGCATCGCTGTAATAGTGTAATAGATGAATCGTTACACCCCTACATCATAACTAAATCATAGAATTTCAAAATTTTCAGTTTGCAAAATAATGTATTTGATGGATGGTTGTAATCTTTTCTAAGGATAGTTCTTATGACTCTTTTCTGTAAAACAAAAATTGGATTTGTAATTGTTTTGCAAGCTTTACCCCAGACTTCAATACCGTAAATTAAATGCGGAACAATTAATGCAATATACAACACAAGCAGAGCTTTGTCATTGAATAACTCCCTGACTTTATACAGTACTGCAATAGATTTAGATATTTTTGTTCTTAAATAATTAGGGCTGTGTATTGGCAAGAATTTGACGATACAATACATATCATGACAGAGGAGTCATGATACGATATATCCCGATATATTGCGATACTGTAAGCAAGGCGATATATTGCGAAATTTTTTGTCCAAAAATTCTATTAAATAAAA